ACAAAGATGTCTTGTTGATACTGGTTCAGATTTATGTAACTTTACTTGAAGTTTACTACGAGAACGTCGTGCTCTTGTCAATTACGATTTTTCCACCATAATTTATTAAATGGAAGCAAAATCGAAACATGCTGTTTCCTAGCCTTAAATGTCAACTTCAGACTCTAAAGTAGTTTCTTGTGGAGATTCATCGTTGCCGACGTTGATCTGACGATTATCGGTTTAGATTTCTAAGCTTATGACCACATTTTACCTGATTGTCGTACGAAACGCATAGTCAATGTTTACACTGGACTTAAAGCTCAAAGTTTTTTCTACTCTCTACAAAGAGTAGCGTTAAAGCACTTTAAAATTATTCGTCTTTTTTTTTGGCTCTTATTTTTCAGTTTTCTAATTACTTGTTCACCTGGTTTACCGCGAGTAATTAAGCATCAAATGATACATCATATTTGCACTACTCCTGGACCACCGATTGCAAGTAAAGTGCGCCGTTTAGGTCCTGAGATATTTAAAATTGCTCGTGAAAAATTCGACGGCATGTTACAAGCTGGTAAAACTCGACCACCCGAAAGCCCTTGGTCATCGCCTTTGCATCTAGCTCCGAAATGTGATTCGACTTGGCGTCCTTTCGGAGATTTTTACGCGTTGATTGCTCGAACTAATCTAGATTGTTATCCTGTTCACCACATTCACGATGTTTCTACTTCATCGATGACTGTACAAAATTTCCGAGAATCGACCTAGTAAAAACTTACCAACGAATTCAAGTCGCTGAAAAAGATATTTGTAAGACATCTATTATAACTCTATTTGGCCTTTTCGAATTTCCGTTCATGACGTTCAGTCTTCAAAACGCTGGTCAAACCTTTCAAAAGTTTATGGACGAAGTCTTACACTAAATAGATTTTTGTTTTGTATACATGGATGATATTCTCGTTTTCTCTCGTTTAAAAACAGAGCATGAACTGCACTTTAAAACCATCTTTAAATGACTCGCAAAATATGGAATGGTAATAAATTTGAAGAAATGTAATTTTGGAGTTTCTGAGGTTGATTTTGTAGGTTAACGCGTCTAAGTAATGAAGGACTATCCTTTGCCAAAAACAGCTTAAGGTCTTCGCCGTTTCCTAGGTATGTTAAATTTTTACAGCGGATTTATATCTCATGCCTCTGAATACAAAACTTCACTGCATGATGCAACCAGAAAATTAATTTTAAAAGGTTCTCAACCAATCACTTGGACATCTAAACTAGAAGAAGCTTTTAAAACCTGCAAAAACTGCATTACTACTGCTACACTTCTTGTTTATCCTCGGATTGGTGCACCACATGGTTTGTTTACTAATGCTTCGGATCATTCTATTGGAGAGTGTTTACAACAGTTTGTTGATAATGTTTGGCAACCCCTTGCATTTTTTTCTAAGAAGATGTCTTTGAAAGAAAGCTCTTAGCCTGCTTATTATCGTGAACTTCTAGCAGTTAATGCTGCTGTTGTGTATTTGAATGAGGGATCAAATAAAGGAAGTACACTTGGGATGTAACTCGGTTGTTCTTCATTTGATACCCTTAACTTAATTACATATGTGCGCTGGTTGGCAGTTACACGCGGACTGCTCGCTCCTCGCTAGCTTGTACGTGCTCGCACTTTCGACGCGTTCACACTTCTATGCCCTACATACATAAACCTACACACACACATACTCTTCGCGTTCGCTCATGTGTGTGTAAGCATCGACTCGCACCTAACAGCTGCAATTTAACATTTTCGGCATTTATTAGAAGGGCATTATTTCACGATTTACACACATCACAAGCCGTTGATGTATTTGTTTCAACAAAAACGTGAAGAACTTCCACCACTGCTGTTGAACCAACTGTCTTTTATATCGGAATTTTCAACTGACATTCAATACTTAAGTATAGGTATTGATAATTTTGTAACTGATACTCTCTCGCGAATCGAAGCTATTTTTACACCACTTGAGAACAAGCTGTTTGCTGAAATTCAAGAAGAAGATACAAAACTCAAGAAAGTAATCGATGAAAATTCTTCTTTGCATACCAAACGAGTACCAATTCTTGGATCTTTACTGTGTTCTATGATACATCAGCAGGAAAACCTCAGCCCTTTATCACAGCTCAATGAATTGGGCTCATGCTTGCAATGAGTGTCAGCGATCAAAAATTTCTCTTCATGTTCGTACTCCTCTTGGATTATTCGAAACTCCGACGCAAAGATTCGCGCACATTCATAGATTTGATTGGTCCACTTCGATCTGCACAATTTCTCCGATATTGCTTGACTGTAATCAATCGTTTTACTCGTTAGTCGGAGGTTTACCCTATGCAAGATACTACTGCAGATTCAGTGATTTATGCACTTTTGAATTACTGAATTTCTCGTTTTGATTTCTCTCAAACTATTATATCAGATCGAGGAGCTCAATTTGCTTGTCATTTTTTCAAGGATGCTGTAAAACTTTTTGGAATTCAGCATAAGCTTACTACAAGTTGGCATCCTGCTTTAAATGGTTTGGTTCAACGTTTACATCACCAATTTAAAGCAGCAATCATGGCTCATTACGATGATATCGATTAGGTTTATGCATTACCTTGTGTACTTCTCGGAATTCGTTCAGCTCTCAAGGAGGACATCTTGATGTAAGTAGCCTTGGCTACTTCAGCTGAAATGGTATACGGAGGAACTGTTCGCCTGCCTCACGAACTTTTTGTTTCAAGTCGGGAAAGCAAGAGTCTTGACGATCCAAAAATTTTCCTCCCACTCCACCTTAAGAAAGTTCATGTCTCGATTACGACCAGCAGCGGCATCAAGACATTGTCAACCTGGTGTATAAGTATTCAAAGAGTTGTCGGATTGCAGCCTTACATTTTTGAAGGAAGGACCGATTCTCAAAGCTTTACAACCTCTGTGTACCGGACCTCATGAAATAATTGATGGAGACCACAAAACAGTCCCTTTGAGAATTTGTAGCAATCCGGTAAAAGTTTCAATCGACCGTGTTAAACCAGCTTCTATTTTTCAAGATAAAACTTTGACGTCTGTTCCTGTTTCTATTTCTACACCAGGTACTGTTACACCAGTTGATGAACGCACAAGACGTTCAGGCAGAAAAAGTAGATTCAGTATCTTTTTTAATTTCGGAAACAAAAAAACGTCAACATGGGTAGTGTGGCGAATCAAGTAATCAAATATCGCAGTAGAACATGAAATTTGCTCAGCAACGCTAGTTCGTGATAAAAAATACTATAAAAATTTATGTAGTCTTTCAACTGTTGCTTAACCGATCACATGTAGATTTTGATGATAAATAATAGTATTGTAAAATAGGAAATACAAGTTATAACAATTTATTTATCTTGCACATTTCCTATATATTATTTAGTTTGAATAGTGAAAATTGTAGTCAGGTCAATAAAAACTACCAAGTTGGAACAGTAAAATTTAATTACCCTTTATTATAGTTTACTGTTCAGCATGGTCATTTTTACTGATCTCACTACAATTTTTACTACTTAAACTATAATTTTGAAGGTTAAAACAGTTATTTTTTCTTTTCTCATCAATTTATTGTATCAGGTTTACTGCGCAAAATGATAATTTTTACTAAAAATTGTCCATGTGTTTCTTGCTGATCTCTCGCAATCTTTTAATAATACTTATAAAATCATTGTCTTCAATATTTTATTTCTTCATGGATTAGTTGGGACACATGCAGAACTAATCACATAACTCATAAAGAGTGAATGATGATTTACAGTAATCTAGTAATTAATTACAGCAACTAAAACTGATGAAGAGGCTCAAGACCAAAGAATTTGAAGAATAATAAGCTACTGCCAGTATGGAGAACTTTTTTGAATTATCCAAATAAATTTCATCCAAAGAAAAAAAAAAAAAAAAAAACAGAGTAAGTATCTTGTCTTTAATAACCTTTCTTTTTAAACCTGCATACTTAATGGCTAACGTCTTTCAAGTCACAATTCCTTTGTTACAAGACCACAGTATACAGGTGTGACATCAAGGACCAAGTGTTGCAGCTGTACATAGAAAAATAATTATATAAGCTGATAATCTTTAAGGATCTTCATGAAAAGGAATTTGTAAGTACTATGTAGGATTACACTCTTTTGAGGCCATAGAAGCTTAAAGCATGGAACTCAGTGCGTTTTAAAGCTTACGTGCTAAATGCTTAAAGCTTGCCTGCACTTCTTAGATTACTTAATTATTGATATAGCTGATGCAAAAACAAATAAAGTGGCCAAGTTAAAATTAAAACCTGTCCTATTTGATTCATTCAAAAAAAAAAAAAAAACGCTAATTTAGCGCCATTTTATAATTTGAAAAAGCATCATGCAGCAATAACGAATACTAAAACCTGTCCTGCGAGTATCACCTCAAATTTCTTTCATACATTCATTTTCAGAAGAGCTGTTTCATCGAAAAATAAAAAAAACTTAACCTCAATTCTGTAAATTTTAAAATAGTAAGTAACCCTGTGTATATTTGCACCAAATCTATGTGAATATGTAGATAAAATAAATTTTATATCCACATGGACATAGATGTTGGAGTTATATCTAGTTACATAATAATAATAATAATATCCATGCACCATTATAAGTGTTACCTGCACTCTATAATATCCACGTATTTACGTGGACTTGGTGCAAATAAACCCAGCGAGGTAGTGACACAAAAAATTTTTATTGAATAAACTAATAGAGAAAAGAGAGTTCGTGTTCTGTATCACTTGTCTCATACTGTATTATCTATATCTTGATCCACAGGTTTTTCAGCCAAAGTTCAAGTAAAAAATATTAACAAAAAGTTTTAAGTGAAAATTTGCAATTGAAAAAATTTTTGTTAAGGAAATTTCAAATGATTCTACTTTGTCATTGATGTAATTGTAATTTTCTTATTTTTTTTTATTCTGCTCGACCTATTACAAACAATTAATCCGTAAATTAACATTGTTTACCGATTTGCCCCTTGCCTACTTTGTTGTAGACATGAAAACAGTAAGGTGGTTTTCCTTCAAGCATAGCTTTTTTTCCAATTTCACTGTTGTCCACTACTCTGAGACGAGTCAATCGGTGTACATTGAATCGAACAGCCAATGTACAAATTCCTCTTGGTAAGATGTGCATTTCTAAAGCAAAACTTATGTCGAGGTAAACATCAAAAAATTAACATTAAATTTTAACAGTGGATTTAAGTATAAAATTTACTATTAAGATAGTATTTATTGTAATAATTTTGATGTCATTTAATAATTGAAATAGGCAATACGTGGTAACTGAAGGTGTTAGGCTGCGGGCACATTTAGAGCGTAACGCATGCCACATAACCATTCGTGCCCATGAGAGTGAGAGAGAGGTCCGCGTATTTTAACTCTCTCTCACTCTTACGGGCTCAAAAGGTTACGCGGTACGCGTTAGGCTGCAGTCACATAGAGCGCAACAGAGCGAGCAGGATAGAAATTTCTCCTTAAGCGGCTGTGTTGAGTTTGTTGCGCAGCGCAATAGCCTGAACACAGCCGCTTATGGAGAAATTCCTATCCTGCTCGCTTTGTTGCGCTCCATGTGACTGCGGCCTTACGCTATCCATGACGGGTCTACGGGCCTACCCAGTCAAATTGACATAAGGTGCACAGTGCACAGTGCACAAGAATAACATTGGTTGATATACCTACATACATAATGCACAACGCATTGTGCTTTACGTTTTTACAGATATAGATATACCAACCAATGTTATTCTTGTGCACTGTGCACTGTGCACCTTATGTTAATTTGACTGCGTAGGCCTTAACACGATGTGTTAAAAAAATTAAGGCTCTCATTCCAGTACATTTTATGCAAATATGAATTTGCATTATGACCATAGACATATGAAGAATAGACCGCTTTTTAACAACTGGGGCGGTTAGGCTGCGATTACCATAGATATATAAATAATGTAGACTGCTCGTTCTTCTGTACAGCACTGAAGCATGTGTAGAAAGAGACACAATATCGAACGTGAAAATCTCTCTCGTACATTGCTAAAGGTGGGGGTCAGTTAACTAATAGACCAAGAGCTGAGGCCGAAGGTGTGGCGGCGCGACCGTCGCCCACCATCACTGGAGGTGACATCAGTCGGCGGAACGATGTACCAACCCGAACAACTGACCCTCGTACTACCGATCAATCCAGACGACGAAAGCAGGAGATCAAGCCCCGGCAGATATTCATGCTTGAGAGAAAGAAAGACAAAACATTCAAGAATGCCAACCGGTCACGCTACAACGATATGGCGAATCGGAGCTCTCTCGGCTCTCGTCTCTCGACCGGTGAACACCTAAAGACAATATTGACTAATTCATAACAGTGTTTCACCCAACTAGTGTATATGTGTGTGAGAGAGGCTATAGTGCCAAGAGCCATATAATGTAAAAAGCTGTAAATAAATATCGTAAATGTTCGTCAGTGGTCTTTACTGCCTCTAACCTTTACCCAAGCAACAATACTTACCACAATGGTGACCCCGATCGTGTTCTCGACTTTTCTATCATCTCGCGCGTTTGTCTTTTGTGTAAAGTCACCGACAAACGGTCATACCCCCAATGACCACAACGAGTCGCGAGTAAAATTTCGGGATACGCGCAATAACACACGAAGCGTGCAATAAGCGTGAATCTCTACCCTTTGAGGGCAAACGATTCAGCCAAATCAGGTAAACACGTAACGCGAAATCCCCAGTGGAGCAGGCAGCCAGCATCATAAATGTTGACAACCACCCTCCAAGAACGCAAGAGGAATTCATGCAGGCGATAGCCCACTATCAACAACAAATGCAGCGCATTGAGCAAGATCAAACGGCAGCTCGAGGACCTGGTTTGGAACATGTGGCTGCGGTAAGCAAAATATCTTTGCCGCCTTTTGTAAGGAAAACCCCGCATTCTGGTTCGCCAAGATTGAGGCAGCTTTCGACATCAATCGAATAACCAGCGACTTAACCAAGTTCAAATACGTCATACTCAACCTAGACTCTGTCGCGGAACCATTTGTCAGTGATCTAATAACAAATCCCCCGGAACACGACAAATACGCTGCAATAAAAAGTAGGATGCTCAGTATGCTAGCCGAAACAAGTGAGTCGAAAATGAGAAAGCTCCTTCGAGGCGCGCACATAACAGATCAGCGTCCTACCCATCTACTGCAAAACATAAGATCCCTGGCCGAGGGCCAGTGCAACGATTCAATTTTGCGTATACTTTTCCTTGACTACCTGCCAGAGCAAGTACGAACGCACCTAGTCATTAGTAAAACGACGGATCTCAACAAACTTGCACAACAAGCGGATGAAATCACCGACATTATAGGCCCCACAAGGAGAAATGTTTACGCGGTAGAGTACGAACATTTACGCACACACACAAGCAGCAGCTCAGACACCAACGTAAACACGGAGCTGAAAGACCTCAAAGAGTTGGTAAGACAACTATCAAAACAAGTCGAGCAGTTTTGCAGGTCGCAGGAACAAAACAAAAGCCGGGCGCGTTCACGCTCACGAACGAGGGGCGAGCAACAAGAAAAACAAGAAAGCAACGACACAGATCGTGGCCTTTGTTTCTTTCATACGAAATTCGGAGACAAGGCATATAGATGTAACTCACCGTGCGCGATGCAAAACTCGCTGTCGGAAAACTAACCTCGCTGTGCTCGACGAAGGCATCAAGCAACAGCCAAGTTGAACGCCACCTCATAATGACTGACGGACTTTCTGGTCGCAAAAAGCTCGTCGACACCGGCTCAACAGTATCTGTGATATCAAAAGATTTTTATAAAGAACATTTGAAGCCCACGCCCACCAACTTATATGCGGCGAACTCTAGTATCATACATACACATGGGCACCGGCTCATAACTTTAAACCTTGGACTGCGGCGCGTTTTTAAATGGCTCTTCCTCATAGCTGACGTTGACCAAATAATAGTGGGTGTTGACTTCCTGGCGCATTACGGTTTGCTGCCTGACCTAAGGAATAGACGCCTGCTCGATCCACTCACAAACCTACACTCACGAGGATGGGTATCGCCGGCGCGGCTGCACAGCATATCAACGGTGGACACTACGGTCAACGCACCCAGCCCATTCGCAAGGCTCCTGGAGAAGTTCCTAGATATAACTATTCCGGCACTAAAACGTAAGCCCGTCGTAGAAACGATGGTGGCGCATCACATCGTGACTGACGGACCGCCTGTCGCGGAGTGTCCCCGCAAGCTATCAGGTGAGAAATTGCAGGCGGCCAAGGATGCAATCAGCTACATGCTCGAGCAGGGTATAATTCGCCCCTCATGCAGTCCTTGGGCCAGCCCACTCCACCTTCAAAAAAAGAAAACAGGAGACTGAAGACCTTGTGGCGACTACCGTAAGCTGAACTCCAAGACAACGCCAGACAGGTACTCCCCACCGCTCATCCAGGATCTTTTCCCGAGAATGCGAGGCAGGTGCATATTCTCCGTGCTGGACCTGGCCAAGGCCTACTACCAAATACCTATGGCTGCGGAGGACATACAAAAAACGGCCATGACGACTCCGTTCGGCCTATACGAATTTCTGGCAATGCCTTTTGGCTTGAAGGGTGCAACACAAACCTTCCAACGATTCATCGATGGCGTCTTTCGGGACCTGGAGTCTGGAGTACGTTTTCTGCTGCATCGATGACATACTCATATTTTCAGAGAGCCCGTAGCAGCATGAGAAACACCTCAGAACGGTCTTCGAGCGACTCCAGCAGTACGGTTTGACCATAAACGTAGGCAAGTGCGTCCTGGGAAGCCGGAAGGTAACCTTCCTTAGTTACGAGATTTCACCGGAGGGCTACAGGCCCACATCCGAGCGTGTGCAGGCAATACTAAAATATCCCCACCCCGCCACGATTCAGGAGCTGAGAAGATTCCTTGGCATGGTTAACTATTATAGGACATGCCTTCCTGGCGCGGCGCATCTCCAGGCCCTATTGAATGCCTACCTCAAGGGAGCACGTAAAAACGACAAAAGAGTGGTCCAGTGGAACCAGACGGTGGCTGACGCATTCGCTAGACTGAGGGACCTGATTGCTGACACGACCCGGCTCACTTACCCATCGGCCACCGCACCCTTGGCTCTAATCACGGACGCCTCTGAACCCAGCAACACAATCGGCTTATTCCCCAACACCTAGAGGTTCCCGGCACGAGTTTTGCCCACATTCACCTGGACCTAATAATTCTGCCGCCTGATGACGGTCGCAGATATTGCCTAACAATAATCGATCGATTTAGTCGCTGGCCTGTGGCGGTGCCACTCAGAGAGACGACAGCTGACACAATAGCCCACAGTCTCTTCACGCACTGGATCATGCAGCCACTACGGGAGCCCACTCACAATCACGATGGACCAGGGCCCGCAGTTTGAGTCGCGCCTTTTCGCGGCACTGGCCAAATTCATCGGCGCGGACAGGGTCCGCACATCACCCTACCATCCAGCATCAAACGGCCTAGTCGAGAGGTGGCACCGTACTCTCAAGGCGGCTCTGATGTGTAGGCCTGGTGTCCCCTGGACGCTCTTGCTTCCATCCGTGCTTTTGGGACTACGTACAGCCTATAAAGAAGACCTTAAGGCCTCACCTGCTGAGATGCTGTACGGAGAGACGCTGCGTATACCGGGCTAATTTTTTGTGCACCAGGCGGGGGATGCTGATTCCACCGGGTTCATCGAGCGGCATAGAAGCATGATGAGAAGTATTAAGCCGATACCTACGGCGCACCACTCCAAAACACACCCGTTCCGGCACAGGGACATGGATGTGTGTACGCATGTCTTCGTGCGATGTGATCGTGTTAAGGCGCCCCTGGAACCCCCATACCAGGGTCCCTACAAGATTACTAAACGCATCAATGACAGGTTGTACCAGGTTGACATTGATGGAAAGGCAGCGAACATTGCTGTGGAGCGCCTAAAGCCGGCACATCTGGCCGTCGAGAATGAGCCACCGCCTCAGCATAATCTCCCGCAGCAGGTCCCGCAAGCCCACCGGAACCGGCAGGAGCGACTCCGGACGCCCGCACCACCGACAGAGATTAGAAGGGAGATTGCCAGCGCCTATGGTAGAGAGTGTGTCGCTTTTTTTCCACTGATTTGAGCGCCCCGTCACGGCAGACCAGTCGAACTATACGCACGTTTACAGCAGCGGAGGGGAAGATCAAACGTGCGTACGATAGGTACCTAGTAGAAGGGGAAGGAATATGTGCGTTCACATGTGTATAACTATATATGTTTTGGCTGCCTCCTGCCTGAGCTCTCGAGTCGAGTCCCTCGGCTCTCGGCTGTCGCTGCAGCTCTCGCATGCACGTATATACCTATATATGTTTCCAATGCGCTGTATTCCCTCAAAAAAGTTTTTGTTATAAATGTTGGACAGTTACGTTGGTTATTATGTCCGGTAATGAATTACTCGTTAAATAGGTAAGTATTAAAAATATTTGTACAGCTAAATATCGTTTAATACTGAGTTTTTTCTCGTTTAAAGTGACAAATCGAGTAATGATTACGTGAGTCCCGATATTTAATGTAAGTTCTCGGAACTTCTCAATAAAATTATTATTTTTACAACTCGCATAATGTATGTTATTATAGGTACAGTAAAAAAAAAATTGTACATGATATATAAATACGACGTACCGTAACGTTGGAAATTATTAATTCTTTAATAAATATTTGCTTATTAAAATTTTTTCAATTAAATAAGAGCTCTTTGCTTTTATCTTAACGTTTATTTAGCAATAAAAGACTTTTCTAGAATTAAAATGTCGTTCTTCGATAGATGTAACATTTTCAATAAGAATAAGTATTTATTAAAATGTTCAGAAAAGTATTAGTTCTGCTTTAAAGTAGTTATATTTTAACTCAATTACCAATAGAGAAAAAAACTTCAACTCAAACCTTGGAGCTTCATTATAAACCTATGTCACTTTATGCACCCGTGAGACCAATGTGCTAGTAGTCGAGGCAGCTAAGTACTCTGCCATTCCTATCTACAATAATCACTCCCGGGTTCAAATCTCCGGTGGTGAAAATTTTGTTTTTTACATTTGGTTTTTTTTTTCCCTTTTATTTCGATATTACTTAGTGTAAAATTTTTTTAATAATTCTATTTTATTTTCATGTTTACGTTGCGTAACGAATACTCTTAGTTTATTCATTCGTGGGGGGATTTTTTAAAATTTAAAGTATTTTTTGTAACAATATAATGCTAATAACGAGGCACATGTTTATAAACATTTCATCCTCGTTCAGATGGCTATGCAACTATTATTGGTATATTCAAAAATTATTCAAATAACTCAAGTTATTTTACGCTGGATTGACAAAGTGCTATTATTAACACTTTAAAAGAGGATCACACCTTTTATAACCTAATTTACAATCATGGAAAATGTAGCTAAATAATTATAAGACTATTAAGAATCAGAGAAATTAAACTAAACTTTTTTAATCAACAAATTGATAAAGTGGGATGTCGCAGCACAAGCTCTCGTCAAGAGCAGTGTTTCTCTGCGTTCCTTTTTCGAGAAACAATACGTAAAGAAGACTAACACATAAACCAAAGATTACCTGCGACTCCTGTTATTTTTAACATAATTTTATTATAAACATTTTCATGGCCATTTTTGCTCACGCAGCTTGCATATCGAATACATAAATTTATTATGTATTCGTTCAATAATATATAATTGGTCAATAATATTTTCCCCTTACGTACATATATTTATCTTAAACATTTATGAATTAGCATAAAAACTAATAAGTTATATTTGTGTTGAGATCAAAGCGCATGGGCTGTTTAACATGGTGTTTCCTCACATAGATAATGACTCATTTGGTGAATTTCTCCCATACATGTATGGATCTCAGCCTTGCGAAAAATTTTATGGACTTTTGAGGTCTATTACGTCAACCTTCAGTACCATGGTAAATTGTGACTTGTTTGATTCGATGTGTAGGATACGAAAAATCGAACGACTGTGTCAAACTGGTAATAAAAGTTATGAGAATGATTCGATTATATATCCAAGGAAGCCACAATTTAGATCTTCGTTTGACCGTCTCGACCAAAAGAGACACTCACGTAATGTGTCTTTAACTCCCGACAACCTTCCAAAACTTCCTCAAACTTTTAATGAATGTTGAATTATCGGAAGCGAATAACATCCAGGTAAAAGTTGGTAACACAACATACGAGAATTTGCGTTCCGAAGTTATGCGAGATCACTGCGCAGAAAGCGATGTAGACGATGTGGTTGAAAAAGATGTCCATGATGATGATGATGATAAATCTGCCTTCGAGCATCAAAATGAAGGTCAAAATGAAAATGACAGTCGGTATGAATGCTGAAATAGAATTCAAGTCAATCATGACGCTGTTTTGGAAGACGCAGTAATCATAGAAATTCAAAAATCGGGTACAATTTTTGTTAAAAACGCATATTTCCAAAGTTCTGGCTGGATCTAATTTTCTACTAGGTACTAAGATTAAAGAATACTATGACACACTTTGCAGCTTCCCGGGAGGTGGTTCATACTTCCTGGGAGAAAGCATATCCAGTGTCTTGGTTGTATCTGACTCCATCATTCCCTCCACGTTCCATAGTACACGTCTCTCTTTGCACGGCCCTGAAATGCGAGTGGATCTTGGCTCCGGATTAAGGTTTCAGGGTTTGCCTAATTCTGGGGATGCTTTCTCCCATTGGCTCAATGGGACTCAGAGTGTTCCTATCTATACGGATGGCAGCAAAATGCTGGAAAATGAATTTGTGGGAGCTGCGGCTGTATGCCCCACTCTTGGAGTGAAAATAGTCAAAAGCGTAGCCAAAGAGGCCTCCATATTTACCGCAGAATGTATAGCCCTCTGTGAGGCTGTCAATATTGCTCTCTCTGAACCGTACAATGATTTTCTCATCCTCTTGGACTCCCGCAGCGCTCTGCAATCCTTAAATTGCCGTAGTCACGACTTTAATACTAATCCCTATATTGACAAACTTAAGAACTCAATCAATAGTTTTCTGATTCAAGATAATTCAGGCTCGTTAACATTCATGTGGATTCCCGCGCACTGTGGCATTCCGGGAAATGAGAAAGCTGATTTGATGGCTAAAAATGCCACTCTTTTCAATCACTGTGATTATAAGGCTGTGCTTTACACAGATCTAAGAGGTAACTTTAGGCTAGAAGCTAGAGCACGTACTGTTAGAAGTGTCATTGAGAAAAGTAGACTGACAGGCAAACTTTTTCGATAATTTCTTTACTGATAAGTCTTGCCCTTGGTTTGTAGGCAAGAAACTACCAAGGAAATTTATTGTATCAATCAATCGCTGCCGCGCTAACCATTATGGACTGGCCGCTTCTTTAGCGAGAGTCAAGATTGTTAAAGACTCAAAATGTAAATGTGGAAATGTGGATGAGGACTTAAACCATGTCTTATGGCAATGCCATCTGTACGATATACCAAGAGCAGATATTAGAAGGGTATGGTAGAAATAAAAAGATTTTGTTATGAATGTTGGACAGTTACGTATGTTATTATGTCCGGTAATAAATTACTCGTTAAATAGGTAAGTATTAAAAATATTTGTACAGCTAAATATCGTTTAATACTGAGTTTTTTCTCGTTTA